TCAAACGTTTTTTAGGTTTTAATTTTCTCCTTGTTAACAGCTTTTGTTTAATCACTTGGTCTTTTCTACTACAGACCTAGAGCATACATATGGCTTTTCCTCTAGATTTTCTTTAGTAGAGGGAATAGTCTGGAATATTTTCTTGGTGAATGGTTGACGCCTCTTTTATCATTCGTTAAAATAAACCGTTCAGGATTTAGTTTAATTTATTGGGCAAAATGAATTTAATGTTGAAGAGACAGTCTGATCTGCCTTTTGTGTTTTCTTATCTCTTGTGTCGGTTACTTTATCATCAAGTGTTTTTAGGATTCAGTGGCGGTCAGATGTAAATTGTTCAAGTAGTGTTTTTTTTGCATACCCGCAGACGTTATTTTAATTAAGGTTCGAAGTTGTTGTGGCGTGGATCTCGAGTCATCCTGGAACAATGGATTTTGTAGGTCAAAATTTGATGTTGGTGGTGAAAGAGATGTTGAGGCCGTTGTTGACACTGTTGTGAGTTTTAGTTCGGGCGCTTTTGAAGCGTTGTGTGCTTCGATGGTTTGCTGATTGCTCGCTGCCGCTTGATTTGTTGTGGTTGCCTTCACGGTTATCGGCGTTGTTTGTGACTGGAATGCCGTTGCTGTGTGAGAAACTTCATAACATGTTATACGTTTGCCTTCTTTATCTTTCTTCACAAGGGCAACGATTTCACCAGATTTAAGATAATTATCAATGATTTCAGTCAGTTCTTGATGCTTGTGATAACTTGGCACGAGCTCTGCACGTTGTCGAAACATGTCGACAGCTTCTTGGGATAAAACTTGATTTGACGGCTTTTTTTCATGGAAATAGTTTTCTTCATATGTCTCTAACGATATTTGATAGGTGGTAAAATTTTTTTCAAAAACATCTCTGTTCTGTTTAGCAACTGGTACAGGTAATTTCATATACGAGAGGTGTTTGTGTTGTTTTGAATCGAGAAGAAAATAACCTTGTATAATAGTACCATCACTTAACAATTTTTGTAACGCTGGATCCAGTAAATGCGGACTATTATGGAATGGAGCGCTGTACAATGAGAAAACAGCGTAACAGAAATTCAAAGAAAAAGAGTGTGAATAACTTACGTTTTTCCTGTATCTGGAACTTTTGCTGTCAATGCACTACGCATGAAAATATTAAACTCAATATTGAGAATTTTTTGCACATTTGATGGTGTTTTTGGTTTTGAACTTGTTGCAACTGACTGTGATGTTGGTGTATGGAATAATGTAAGTGCATTACCAAATAAAAATGAATACCACTCCCAAGCAGCTATACAAGTTTCTTTCTCGATAACGATAACTGGTAAGCTTGGGTCATCTGACGTGCGCCCTGTCGTTGCCCAAAATAATTCTTCTACTTTCATTTTCCCCTCTCGAACGAAGTCTTTATTGATAATTTTCTTTTCCCGATGACCTTCGTCAAAAACAACATGTTGTGAAACGGCATTAGTGTCCAGCACTTTAGTAATATTACGATAGAGTTGCAATAAACAGCAACAACGTGGAAAATTTGTCGAGGTTTTCGCATACAGATTCTGGATTTGTCTTGGTTCTTGTGGATTTTGTTTAATGTGTGACAAATGGTCCGATGTTAAATTGAACGTGTAATTGTATGCACTTGAAACGCCTTGTGTAGTTTCTCCGTCATTTTCATTATTTTGTTCAACTGAGCATAAAGAACTTGCGGACGACGATGGCGAGGCTGAAAACATCAAAGGTATGTGATGGTGGAAAAATAAGAGATAATAGAGTGAAGGTGAGCTTTATCTATTTTCTATTTACTTGCAGCTTTGGGGAGAAATTTTCGTTGGATGAGTTTTTCAGGTATGACATATGAATGAATGTGTGGACTACTAGAATTCCAGGGAATAAAACACAGTTCCCTTATAAAACACAGAGTTTCGAAATTCCACTGTATCAATCAAGCAGTTTAAAAAAAAATATTAGTTTGCCTGCTTTGGGCTATAATTTCAGATTTCCTATGCAATTTTTCTCCGTACAAAAATGTAAAACGATTCCTAAAGACCTCACATCTCCGAAAATTTAGGTCAACTCTGGGGAAGATGAGAGTGAGCCGCTATCCAAGCTGAGATGTGGTGGTCGCAGGGATTTTTGACTGGTCGAGTGTAGTTTTGAAGAATGAACCACCGCTTAATATGATATAAATCCAAAGTACAGTAGAGTGTGTAGTATGTTATCAGAATTGACCTAAATTTTCGGAGCTGTGAGGTCTTTAGAAATCGTTTTACGTTTTTGTACGGAGAAAAATTCCGAAAATATAGGTCAATTATCATAAAATACTACACACACTACTGTACTTTGTAAATATATCATATTAATC